TTGCCGTATTTGCTGTTACTGCGGCCATGACTGCTGTACTTTGCGGGCAGATACTTGAGCTTGTCATCGTCGCGGGGCTCGTCGTACTTTTCGCGCGAGTTGCGGTAGTAGTTGTCTTGCGGGGATGGGGGCGGACGGTAAGCAGGATTGCTGCCGCGCGGGTCGTCGTAGTCGTAAAGTGACCTGGTGCCTGGGAACATTGCGTCGCTCCCGTCCTCTGGGTAAGGAATAGCTCCTGACATGGCGCGGCTGGCGCCCGGCTCTGCGGTGACGACGTTGGCGCCTCCTCTCTCGCGTCCATATCTGCCACCATCGAGGTCGTCTTCCGGGTAAGCATAGCTGGGCTCGCGCGGGGGATCAACCATGGCGGGGACCGCGGGGCTCCGACTGCGCTCGCGACGGCCAGGCGAGCGCGAACGGGTGCGACGGCCTCGGTCGTCAACCTGGAGAGACATGGTAGTCGCCTGGAGACTTTTGGACACTCGAACTGGGTTTGTCGCTGTTGATTCTGAACTTGACTGCGAAAGTGCGAGCTGACAGGACTCGAGGTGGGGTTTTGGAGCTTGAAGTTGAGACAAAACGTGCGGGACGGGGAATGAGGGGCTCTCTCTGCCCAAGTGTGTGTGTGTGTGGGACAGGGACCGTGGGCGTAGGGCGACGGGAGCTCCTCTTTTTTTCGCTCTTATATATCAGATGGAGAGAGAGAAGAGATGAGATGTCGCGTGCTCTCCTAGCTTCAATTGAGCAGCGTGCGGCTGACTTCAAGTACTTGTACAGGTCTTGGAGCCTCAAGCATAGGGTTGAATACGAAACGAAAGACGAGGAGGCTGTGGATGCATGTAAAAGAAAGAAAAGGAGACAGATAGATGCACTAATGTAAGGGTAGGCATGGGAAAATGGGGTGAGTGAGCAATGAGCAAGCCACCCAAAAGGAGAAGAGTTGGGCTGAAGGATGTGAAACCCACCCAGTTGCATAGCGTGTCTTCCCCATCCTGACCAGAACAGCATCAGCATCAGCAGCAAGTTAGTTGGTTAGCAACAGCAGTTGCGGTACCATGCAGTAAGCTAATGGAGCTCGCATCGTCTATCCCCTGTTCTGACTCTTCGGTGGCTACCTAGCTTGGCGGGAAATGTGTCGTATGAGCTGCTGGCGAGTAATGCTTCATGACATTACCTGCAGCACCGGCCTGGCATCATGAGGTAGCCGTGTCTCTTGGATCTGCTGATCAAAGTTGTCCGTCTAGACCGTCAGGCGCTAATGGCTGTGTGGTTGCGCCGGTTGGTCCAATGGCCGCGATGGCCTCAAATCTAAGGGCCCCTCAAAGAGTGCCAACACCGCCTTTCCGTCGTACTGCGTCCTGCGTGCACCAAGACCCTCAAGACAGAGCCCCCAGAGGACCAGGGGCCGGGCTGGGGTCAACCGTCAATGTGGACATGAGAGGAAGGCTGTGAACGGCGGCAAGTCCGTGGCAACGGGTTCCTCCAGGGAAGCTAAGCTCTCCGACCCCGTGGGCGGCGGCGGCGGCGATGAACAGGGGGGAACGGGGCCTCTGCAAACTCGAGGGCAATTCCCAACGGGCCGTCTTGTGTTGTGATGACATGCTGCAGCGGAGCGGGGCCGGGATCCCCGCCATGTTGCCCAACTCGTCCTATCAACATGCTCCCGCTGCGGACGATGCAAGGGCCTTTGGGGGCTGAACGAGTGCGTGCTGCCGCTGCTGCACCAGTGACGATGGCACGCTGGAAATCTAGTCGAGGTCGACGATTTCGGCTCGGGACCTGGAGGGTGACACGGCGGGTGGGATGAAAAGCCGAAGGATTCCGTTGATGAGAGCACAAGAGCTCTCAGGTGCCTTAGGTAATCTTCCAGAACACATCCCCACTTTCTGCTGATTATGTAAGACATGGGAGACCGGAGACTTTCGGCCAAAGGCAGGGCCGCCGGTGGTTGTTGCTGCGCAATCGGGTTATCGGGATAAGCCGGGCTGCACGGGCCACAATCAAGCTCCACAGTGTCAGAGCTCCCCCAACGGAACGAACTCGGAGGTGATGGAACTCCTGTTAATTATTGAGCCGGCAAAAACGAGACCTTTTTTTCTCCTTCCTCTCGTCCTTGGAGATCTTTTTGATTAATCTGGCAATACCTTCACGCACTCCTTCTCATCACCCATCGAGGTCATCAAAGCTTCAATTGGCTCCGTACAAGCTAGAAATTGCGACTTAGACCGCCGTTTCTACTCCCCAAGACCCTTTCTCCAACCACCAGAGGAAAAAAAAAACGCCCGCCATGCTTCGATCGGCACCAGCTCGTCGCGCCGCTTCCGGCCTGGCAAACACACGGCTTACCGTTATGCCGAGGACATGCGCAATGAGCCTCTCCACATGCTCGACCCGATACACCTCCTCTTCCCCCGCAGCTCTTTACCCCGCGACGAACTCCAGATCAACAAACCTCACCAGCCCTTTCTCCCTCCAGAGAAGCATTCACACCACTGCTTCCAGAATGGCCGAAACCCGTACCGAGAGCGATGCCTTTGGCGAGATCCAGGTCCCCGCGGACAAGTACTGGGGTGCTCAGACTGAGCGTTCCCTCGAGAACTTCAAGATCAACCAGCCCCAGGACCGCATGCCTCCTCCGATCGTGAAGGCCTTTGGTATCCTCAAGGGCGCTGCCGCCACCGTCAACATGCGCTACGGCCTCGACGAGAAGATTGGCAAGGCCATCCAGCAGGCTGCTGCTGAGGTCGCCGAGGGCAAGCTCCTCGACCACTTCCCCCTCGTCGTCTGGCAGACCGGCTCTGGCACCCAGTCCAACATGAACGCCAACGAGGTCATCTCCAACCGCGCCATCGAGATCCTTGGCGGTGTCAAGGGCAGCAAGAAGCCCGTTCACCCCAACGACCACGTCAACCGCTCCGCCTCCTCCAACGACACCTTCCCCACCGTTATGCACATCGCCGCCGTCCTCGAGATCGAGCAGGAGCTCATCCCCTCCCTCAAGAGCCTCCGCGATGCGCTCCAGAAGAAGGTTGACGAGTTCGACGCCAAGCAGATTATCAAGATTGGCCGCACCCACTTGCAGGATGCTACTCCCCTGACCCTCGGCCAGGAGTTCTCCGGATACGTCGCCCAGCTCAGCCAGAGCATCAAGAGAGTCGAGTCCTCCCTGCCCGACCTGCGTCAGCTCGCCCAGGGCGGTACCGCTGTCGGCACCGGCATCAACACCTTCCAGGGCTTCGCTGAGGGTATTGCCGAGGAGGTCTCCAAGATGACCGGCACCAAGTTCGAGACCGCCCCCAACAAGTTCGAGGCCCTCGCCGCCCACGACGCTATTGTCCAGGCCCACGGCTCCCTCAACACCCTCGCCGCCTCCCTCTCCAAGATCGCTCAGGATATCCGCTACCTCGGCAGTGGCCCCCGTTGCGGTCTTGGTGAACTCAATCTCCCCGAGAACGAGCCCGGTAGCTCCATCATGCCCGGCAAGGTCAACCCCACTCAGTGCGAGGCCCTCACCATGGTCTGCGCCCAGGTCATGGGTAACCACGTCGCCACCACCATCGGCGGCATGAACGGCCAGTTCGAGCTCAACGTCTACAAGCCCCTGGTTATCCGCAACCTTCTCCACAGCGTTCGCATCCTCTCCGACGGCATGCGCTCTTTTGAGAAGAACCTCGTCGTCGGCCTCCAGGCCAACGAGGAGAAGATTGCCAGCATCATGAAGGAGTCGTAAGTCACCATTATTATCTATAAGATTATGCGTCTATTTGCTAACACTGTCACAGCCTCATGCTGGTCACCACCCTCAACCCCAAGATCGGCTACGACATGGCCTCCAAGGTCGCCAAGAACGCCCACAAGAAGGGCCTCACCCTCAAGGAGTCCGCACTCGAGCTCAACGCCCTCTCCGAGGAGGACTTTGACAAGCTCGTCCGCCCCGAGCTTATGATCGGTCCCAGCGCTTACAAGCAGTAGAAGCGCACACTGGAGATCGGTTGTGCTAAATGACGTTGTTGTTGTTACTTGTTGATATAGAGTGGAGAGCTAACCCCGAAACCCACCAAAACCTCACCCCCACGCCTTGTGTAAAACTACCTTGCGTAACGATATCCTGTTACCTGTGAAAAGGGAAACAATGCGGTCTTGAGCGATCCGTGTTTGTAGAATTGAAATCGTAAAACAAAAACATTTTCGAAATCGCGTGGTTTGCACAGAATGGGAGGAGCATGTTGTCTTTTTAATGACCCCGCCATTTCACATGTGATGTAATCCCATACCCCGCACATCGCGCATCCGCGCACCACACAGTTGTCAAGATGCCGTCTCACCGTTCGGATGGGAGGATTCATCTCGCATGCGTGAGCTTAGGCGCAGTACCGTCTCAAAATAATTCCAGACGACGTGTGTCGTTTGTGGAAGTTCGGGTGTGTAAGGTAGAGTACAGAGTATGCACGGTCTTAAGCGGTCATGACCTGACGCAAATGGAGGCCAACACTGAAGGCTACTTTTTGTGACATGTAATTTTTGTAAGCGACCGCGAGACACACTCGAGGGGAGTCTGTTTGCCAATAAGTCGAGTCACGAGGCTATAAGAATTTGTAGTAGTGGTGAACGTCGGGTTTGAGTTTTGTGATACCGTACGAGTTGCCGAATCGAGACGGGTTTTGGTCTGGTCCAGTGATGCCATTGGTCGAGTGGCAACGCCGGGCCGCCGGCAACCACCTCACTTGGGGAGGGCAAACAGAGTGATCCGCCAGCAACTTGCCTTATACATCCCGGCTGGTCTTTGCCATCACCGTCATATCATGACTGTTGTGAAGGAAGTCATTGTGGGAGGAGTGATAGCCAAGGAGAGGAATCGCGGTAAGGCGTATCGCGATTTAAGTGAAAGACACCCCTGGTAAGTTCATGATATGTGGAGCGACATTGTGTGTGAACCTCGTAGAGCAGAACAGAGTAGCATTTCATTTTGACGAAGCAATTTCTCTAAGTGCGCTCTGTATCGCTTCAAGAGGTATTCCAATCTTGAGGAGGTCCTCCTGCATCAAACATTGCCTTTCCAATAATATTTGTGCCGTTAAGTCAGGCCACCGAAATGCTGAAGATTTCGGGGGATTCGAAATGAGAATCTTCGGGTCGACCTTTGCTTCCTCAATCAAATATCGAACCATTCTATCTGATAATCCGCATGCAGCAGCTCCAAACGTACTGCCATATTCTCCCCCATTCGAACTGTTCGCATCGTGGCCAAGTTCTTCAATGAGGACTCGGCTGCATTTGACTGCACCTTCGTAAGCTGCTCCATCCAGGACCATTCCTTCCCCCTCAGGCCATAGTGTTATATCAAGTCCATATTTCAACAGCACTCTCAACGCCTCGACATGGTCATGCTTGAAAACAGACTTGAGACAACACAGTCCTCCACCAAATTGGCAGGGAATATTTGGGTCCGCTTTCCAATCCAATGATGTTGAAAGGGTTTTAGCGTGGTGATATTTAGAAGCGACGACGCACAAAGGTGTATGGTCAACTTGAAGGTTCGGGTCTGCCCCCTTCGAAAGAAGCAGCTCAATGATATTGAGACTTTCGGAGAAAAAATTGTCACGATTCGCGGTAAAACATGCGAAGATAAGTGCAGTACCGCGAACATGCCACCGATCTGGGTGGCTCAGTGTATTGACCTCTGCCCCGTGATCGATGAGAAATGAACAAATCTCGGCGTATCCGTACCAAGCAGCCGTGGACAGCAAACTGTCTCCCTCGGTATTTGGTTGAGTGAAATCATACCCAAGTCGGTGCAGATGCTCTAGTAAGTCAAGAGACTCTAAATGGCAAGCTACAGAAACAGGGCTGTCAGAGGGCTGCCCGTACGATCGGCAGAGCACTCTTCTCCTCAACGCCCCCTTTTCGTCCAGCGCTGTTGGGTGTCGAAAACTCAAAGGATCGACAGTATCACTGAGGCCCAGACAATAACCTAGAATACCCGAAATTTTCTTTGTTTCTGGGCGTCTTCTGTATATAGACTCGACAAAGTCTGACCAGTGCATCGAGGCATAAGCGGAGAAACTGGGCCAGTTACTATACCCAGTATGTTCCCCTGGTAAAGATGCCTGTAAGAGCAACAACGTTGCAATATGTAACTCGCCGTCGTCTGTCCAGTGACTGAGCTTATTGTTGAAAAACTCTGCGATTGAGGCATGTGGAAATTCCCATCTGGAAAATTCTGTTTTGATGATCAGATGACGGCATATATTGCCTAGTTCAGTCTCTGTAATACTTTCTTCGGCCAAGGCAGTCTCGAGCTGCTCATAGGTCTGGCAGAACGGCAGTTTGACGGCATCGAGAAAAGTCTTCCCCGACATCGCCCCTACCCATTTGACCCACATAGCGGCTCTCATAAGAATCGTCAATGCGTGGCCGTCTTGTCGAGAACATATCTCTTCGTAGGAGGCCACGAGACCTTCTGGAAGCTTCATGAGTCGCTGCTTCACATCGGTCTCTGTATTCAACGGCTTTAACTGATCCCATTGAAGTTGAACCCATTTAAACCTTGTCGCACAGCGAACATCAATAAATACTTCTGGAGGTTGCGGTTGTGTGTAATGAACTCACATTCCACCATGTTTTTTAAGAAGAGTCTCTCTCACAAGTGACTGAACACTTTGTCTCTTCCAAACAGGACTAAGATCGACTTGGCTGAGCTTAAGGTCAATGTATTTCTCAATATCTCCTAGATTGTCTGAGGTGCTGATTTGGATGGAGGATGACGTCTTCATCAACTCCAGTATATCGGTCTCTGGTCGACTGGATATGAATACTTTGACGGGCCGATCAGAGTCTTTGACTAACGCCCTGAAGAAGCTCACAATCTGCGTTCTTGATCTTTGCTCGCATTCGTCCAGAGCATCCAGGACTAGGATAGATCGTGGATACGTGTTGACCAAGTCGCGTACAAATCGCTCTCATTCAGAAATCTCCAAACTTCGTCGAGACGCGGCGGCATTTTCGCAAAACATGAGAAGCTGCTTGTGCCATCGGTCGCGGTGGCGCGACACCGCCAAGAGCTGCACAACATAGCTGCTGAGAATGGATTTGATATCTTTCCGGTCAATCAGCGAGCGATCGCAGTAAAAGTGAGCAAAGCCTTCATCGTTGTCTGGGGATCTCAAGGTATCGCCAGGGCGAGGGCGATAGCGATCAATCACTTTGGAAGTCAAGAAAGACTTCCCAGCTCCCACTTTCCTTACTAGTCAACACTGAGTCACGCAAGAAGGAGGATGTTTGGCGTACCTTGACCATTGAGCCATAGGATTGACGACGAGCTTGGCTCTTCCCACGCAAGGAAGCTCGGACGCTGTATAAGCCATTCGCAGGTCCCCTCAGTCCGCAACTCTTTCTTGGCGACGTGAATTTCATCGACCTTGACGTCACTGATGTAGTTCATGGCATACTCTCTGTCTCGGCTTTCCATATTCTTGAAACAGTCTAGAAGCTGCACTACCCTATCGTCGATCCGTCGCAGAGGGCTGTGAAGACTTTGCAACAGCTCGAGATTCCTCTCTGTTGACTTGCAGACGCAAGCTTCTGCGTTCTTCGAGACTTCATTCTTCGCGGCCGTCAGGTCTGATAACAACGATTCTGCGCGGTCTGGGTCAGTGAGAGCCGTGAGAAACTGCATTGCCCAGGATTCTTGTCTATCTAGCTGAGTTGATGTCGAAGCTAGTAAGTCCAGCGAGGATCTGTATAGCTCAATCATAGAGTCTCTCAGGAGCACTCTCGAGGGTTCTTTCAAGTTCGCGCCAGAAAGGCTGTACACAGATTCATACATCTGACCCCGTCTGACAATACTGAGAATGCGGTCGGCGGCACCAAAAGCAGCGGTGATTTGTTCGACTCGACTTGTTTCGGCCTGTGCCAGTCAGAAAAACCCAGGAGTTGATAGGATTTCGTTTGGATGAGTCTACCTGAAGGAGCACTCTGAGTGCTGACCACACCGGCGAGACTGGCGCAGGGACGAATGGTATGGTGGTGTCGCCGATCATAGTCACCCAAGCCACGACTCGATTCGCGTAGTCCCTCCACAAGATATTCCTTTCCCCGATCTTCAGTCCTGAACTAGCATCCTGGTTTCTTCGCTTTGTCTAACCAGCGTTGTCAATTCTTGGACTTGGATGGTACTCGAGCGGTCGATGCCGAACTTTCCCATCCAAGACTTGGTGTCTTGATGAGTCTTGTTGAGCGCCTCATATCACAGGTCAACTGGCGCGTTTTCTGTAACGATAATAGGTTGATGCTTGACGAGCTGAACGTCGGACGAGGGTGCCTCAACATGTGCTTCGGCAGACTCTCGACTGTGTTTGCTGTCGGCGTCTCTGTTTTCGGTTCCCGCGTGTTTGGATGAGATGGACTCGGCCTTGCCATTCGAAACGGAACCATCGGCAGACTTTGCCGGCGACAGTGGTTTTGGTTCATATGGAACGGCTGGCTTTGACGTCGGTCCTGGTGAGGCGAGAGGCTTCTTCTTCGATCCGAGATTGAAACAAGAGATCAAGGCCGAAACGCAGCTGGACTTTGTGTCCTCGGAGGACTTGGTTTCTACCATCATGGATGTATGAAACACTGCTGTTCAGACACCCCAAATGGCCCACTGGTGACTCTGGACCGAAAGTGTCTGCCCCAGACTTGCGATGAGCTCTGTGTCAAGTGGCGCATCCAGTATGTGAGACTTTGACGAGGGAAACTCAAAGAAAGATTTACGGTAGAGACCGTAATATCATAGAGTACCACGACTATTGAAGAATCGAGCCAAAAGATATGCGTGACATGGGGGCGAGTGGTTGAGGAGATTTCGAGGTATGTGATAGCTCGGGGATTTGCCAAAAGCCTGAGAAGATTCCGATTAGAAAAGGGGTCATGAGGCATCCATACATACAGATCGCAGCGCTTAGCTGCACCATAATATGAATCTTCCATCCAATAGTTGTACGTGAAGCCATCTACCAACATGCTTCCTGCCGATAATCACACTCTCTGATGGCGCATCGCGAGTAACTACATGCGGCTATCAATTGCCCCATTAGAGTTGAATCATACGCGAAAGCAGTTGCGTCTTCCGAGACATGACGAAACCAAGAATATGGTATTTCTGAGTTCTGTACACCAACAGAGATGCAAAGGAGGGGTTGGTTGGACCAGGGTCCAGATCTGCCGTCTACTGATGTTGGAACTTGCAACGGTTGATTAGAACAAGGTACACTGCAACCTCAGCTCTAGTAATAAATGTCTCACGAGTCACGAATCAACGTCACAGCAGAATAATGAGGTTGAATGAGACGCGATAAGCTGTTGAATGCGTTCTTGTGCACGAAGGCGTGGTAGGATAAGTTGTGTCAAACCAGGTATTGAGTTGAAGCCGCAAAGGCTGATGAGCCTCACTACACTGTACTAATGACCATGAAGTACTAGCGAGAGAGTCTTCCATACTATATCACGATGGGCTCTGCGTCTTCATGTAGCACCTTGATGGATCGAGCGTCGTCAAGACAAGGCATAACCCTCCTAGACTCCAATGGCGATTGGAATACGATTCATCTCTATTCCCAGTAGAACAGAAAGAAACTCGTCAATTTATCAGATGTATTGTACCTTCTCCGTAATATGCTATCAAAGCATCGTTACATGCTGTCTCCTTCATACCTAAGGATATAAGTATGGTGTCCGCATCCAGGCGAAGTCCATAACAAAAGACACGCCCAACTACCTGCATGTGGGGTGGACAGATATTTGTGGGAAGAAGCATCGTACATGGCACTTTCTTTTCCTAAAATTCACAAACCGTGCTGCCCTTCATCAGACTAAAAAGGCCACTTGAACGTTGTCTACCGACCAGATATCAAACTTTACTCCCTCGACCTTTCTCCGATACTCCAGACGTAGATATAAATCAATCCAATTTTTTTGAACCCATCTCAAATTCCTATTCAATTCATCCCACCGTCAACTAATCCCAAATTACCAAAAGAACACACCGGACAAGATCTCACCACCCATAACTTACAATATGGCATCCAAAATCAACCTCGCCATCCAACGACGCGTTATGCCCACACTCAAGGCAGCTATCACCCCAGCTGCCAGACTCGACACCCAGCAGTCGCGTCTCCTCTCAACCACCGCAGCCCTGAATAAGAGACTTGCCCCCTCCGAGTACCGCTTCTCCTTAAGCAGAGCCCTCGAGGAACGCAAGACGCTCACCAAACCAAAGCCAAGCGCCTTCACATGGCCTCGTCGGGCGAGCGGAAAAGAAACCCCCAGATCTAGCCTCCTCAATAGAACTCACCCCCTGAGAAGAGTCAAGGCTCCCAGCCCAAGCGTCAACGAAGCCAACAAGGCGGAGCCAATGCAGAGCGCAATCATCCCCGCGTCTCCCAGAAAGATGTCGACTCTCAAGAACAAGATTTTTAGCGGCTATGACGGAACTCTCAAGATGGCAAAGAAAGTAAACGTCGTACCCTTAATGCGTAAAGTCGCCGGCCTGACGAGTCTCGCCTCCTTCGGCATCTACGGCGCCATGGGTCAATACCAGGCCATGTTGGAGGCAGAGGCCAAGAAGAAGAGAATCGCGGAGGAAGACGAGGCCTGGAGAAGATGTAAACAGGAATTGTGGGAGCAAGGGCATTCCATGTCGCCTGGATCGGGTATCCTCAGCGATGGATCGTATCCCTTCGCGTTGTTTTACCACTAGTAAGGCGTGGGCGGAGTGGTTAAGTTGAGATATAGGAAGGCATGGGAGGAACGCCGCGCCAGAGAATCCAGGCTCGTCCTCGATAGTTCCATAATTTTCGTATTAAATATGAGAAGATTGAAGTTCCAAGTGCAGGCCTTGCGATGTGTAAGTATCGTGTGAGGTCAATGCCAGTCGTCCATCCTGTTTTGGGCCCACAATGACAAGCGAATATCCGATGATTTTAGCGTTCAGCATCATCTCATGGTTTAGTCGAGCCCAAGACCGACGTCGTCGATGTCAAAGTTAAAGATATACCATCTTGTATGTTTCCAAGCACTTACAAGGCAACGCCCCAGTAGGACTTGACGTATGTCGGTAGCCTCCTCGGGACTTTGTCCCGCATGTCTCAACTCATACATCGCCTCGATGTATCGAGCAATGAACATCAAGGCACAGATGATCTTGCTTTCCCAGACTGACATCCTATTTATCTCACAACCAACCCTCATTCGTCCCTCTCTCCTCAACTCCCCTTAAAAAAAACTATGGCAAAGCTCGACTACAAGCGAATACGTCGAATGATTACCTGGACTTTCCATTCACTGCATAACATCCCTTCACGCCATACCCCAAGACCTGCCTCATTCACCCCTCACCCACCAGAAAGCACCCAACCGTACCGTACCCCACCCATCGTCACCAACCACGACAAAACGACGATAATTTCAACAAAAGGGAATCAAAAGACATACAACACCAGGTATTCGCTGGTCGTCACCGACCCAACTACTAATCCGGCCCTCATTGGCTTATCTATGGGAGAGCGGACGGGATCCCGAGTTTTCCAATGGGTATGGTCGTATGTGGTGATTAGGTCAAGGGGAGGAGATAATATCGTGAGATTGAAGGGGGTTTTTTCGTTGGGAGGGGAGCCAACACAACAACTCAAGAAAGACTGACTGTTAATTGCCTTGCTAAAAAATCTGAAAGAAATTTGAAGTATTGCTTTCATGAAAAAAATGGGGAGTAATGGTATGGTGCTGGGGCAAAGATTGGGAAGCCTTGTGATGCGACGGCATGACGGGTTTCGCGATGATGGCTTACGGTTCATCCTTTGGACAGACATAGCACCCGTGGGCATTTCGCTCTCCTTCAACTTTGCCAAATCTACGTAAGTGAATAGACTGAAAAGAAAAACAAATTCAAAGGAGACGCGTCTTTGAGCTTGAAAAATCGCAAGCATGCTTCAACCTCTAGCGACGGCTCTGTTAGTTCGCGCACCTCGGATTGTTATCACGTTGCAGTCTTTGAGCCGCATTACCGAAGGCGAAACTCAAATCCCGGGTTCGTCAACTACAACCACAAGAACATGAATGTATTCATTCTGGAGTTTATCTCGTATCAAGTAGTTCCCATTCCAAAGGTCGCTTAAAAATACTTGTCAACCCGGGAGGTGGGGGAAGTAGGCGACGGCGGATCACGGCACTTCGGCAACATTTGCTATAGACGGGCCGCAATAGCCGCTATCTCATCACCAGTCACCTAATCAGACGCCAGGAACGTAGACCAGAGCACTTCGTCTGACTGCGTGAGAAGGTCGGTAGTTGGTTATACTTCAGCTACAATCATTGCATGTGCAATTCCCAGAAGACTGGCATTCGAGGTGGTATCCGAGGTGCAGACATGGTGCGGGCATAGTAGCGTGGAACCTCTCCTACGCTCACCGCAACAATTAACGAGGTCCATTTCTCAACCGTGCCTCATAGTTTGAGGTTGAGGTAGTAGGTTGCAAGACTTCGGATTAAGTAGATCAGTCCATTCAAGCTTAGAGAGTCTGGTTCCTCTTCGGTGTTTCGCAACTCACCGACGCCGGCTCAAACCCAGAGCCGCCCTTTTGTCGTGAAGCTTAACGTCGTTTTGATTGCCCAGGCCATCTTCTTGTCATATTCAAAGTCCACAGAGATGAAAGGGCACAGACAGATTGATTGTTTATGAATTTTTTCTTGTTTTTTAATCATGCCGTTAACCAGCGCCGCGCTCAGTACTAGTAAGAAGATGGTATCGCAATGTCTAGTAATCACATTAAAATAGTCCGTGAGTCCTCAGACTCTTTGGTGTTGTTGTTTTCGTTTTTCTTTTTCGTTTCCCTTCCTGGGTTAAACCATCCCAAAGGATCATGGTCTCGGTTCCTCGGCACCCTGGTCCTCCTCATCATGATAAGGCACCGAGTCACATCGAAATGATGGTGTCTTGCATGCCTTCTCGTCCACCTCTAGCCGGATCACTCCTTGCGGGTCATAGTGCTGGCGTACTCTGCGTTTCTTGTTAGTCGATTGCACGTTGCAAAATATCACTGAAGATGAACTCACCCTTGGAAGGTAGTACCGACAAACTCCAGCACCAAAAGGACGAGAACGAGAGCAATGACGGCGCCGAGAACAATCAAATCGGGGTGCTGCTCAAAGATCCTCATCGTCGGTCGGGTAATTTGCTTCCAGCACGGCAGACGACCAGAAGGCAACAGTTCCGCCAGCCCATCCTTGAGCGACATTGGCGTAATTGTCTCGGGGGTTCCGTCGCCCACAACGTCCACCACTCTGTCCTTGCCGTGAGGTGCCGGATGCCTTGACAGGGACTGGAGGTAGCTGGTCTTCAGGGGCCGCGGTGCAGCGAGGACGATTGACGGGGGCATGTCCTCGGACGGTGTTACTGGCTCGTTGTTGAATTCGGTTTCGATGTCATAGACGTCAGAGATGGGTCGTGTGCGGTGCATGGACACGCGTGTTACCCTCGTAAGACGACGTGCCTCGGTCTTGACGTGTGAGACCATATCTGAAATGGTTGATGGGACGGGAGCAGCCAAGCCGAACTGAGTGAAGCCCAGGGCGAAGAGTAGTGATGAAGGCTTCATCTTGTCGGTGATCAGGGTTGGTAATAGGTGACTGTGGTGTATACAAGAGTTGGTGTTTCAATGCGCGAAGAGATTCCGTCTTTGTCGTCGTGTCTTATCTCAATCCTGGTTATCGAGGGTTCAGATGAGGTTCAGGGATGCTCGTCTGGTAATCTGTTTCCCACGATGATTGTCGATGTCGAAGTACTTCCAGCCACAAGGAAAGCCTCCTGGTTCCTTTTCCTTGCCTTTCCTCCAACGAAGTAGATCGTCTGAGTTGGTGCAACTAGCCTGTTGACTTGTGCTGGATGTGTGCTCCAAATACTACTGCGTCTGTAACGATTCCACCAATGTTCTCAAGCCAAGGCGGTGTTCGGCAATTTACGATGATTGTAAACTACCGGTGGTCGATGTGGAAGTTCAAGGTGGAGGGCAGTGGTGTTGTATTGAGATGCTTGAGTGGGTGAGGGATGTGCCGAGACGTGTAGACATATATGTCCAGGTCTGGGTAAGCCAATTTATTAGAGGAAAAGAGATCCGGTGACAGCGGCAGGGCAACCAGAGACAAGTCGAGGCGTGAAACCGAGCGCAGAAAAGTCAGCGTAATGGAGGGCGGGAAAGCTCGCAGGCGAGTGAAACAAAACAAGTAACGGGCTCTGGTGTGTTCCCAAGTTGTGAGGAATGAAGAAGATGGGACGGGGCGACTAATGGTAGGTGTGAGACCCGGGTGCAGCGAAGAAGACCGGAAGGATAGACGGCTGAGGGCAGAACAGAAGAGGTAGGTGTTCGTGGGACTTGACGTGCCAAGGCGAGCGAGGTCTGCAAGTAATATAGGAAGAATAAGAGACACCCTCGACTCGTCCGGAGTGAGGAGAGATGGGGTCTGATCAGAAATGGGACTGGCACACTGGGTATCGATGAGTAGCTGCAAGTATGTTTGTGCAGGAGACAAGAGGCATGGGGCGGGTGAGGTGGTAGTGTTATTATGTATGATCCAGAGCAGAGAGACAGAGAGAAAGGAGAGCAAGCCCAACCTTTTACGCATTGGGATTAACATGACTTTAGCCTCGCCCAAGACGGCGGCGTTTTTGTTCGCACCTTTTTGCCCTCGCTCCGTCTTCTCTCGAGAGAGACCTAGCCAGCCCACTGCAGCCAGCCATCAAGGGCCCAGGGCCATGCTCGTCCTCCTTGTCCCCGTCTCTCTCAGATCCCCTCTGGTCTGTTCTCTGCTTTCCCTCACAAAAAGCGGGTGCTGGGGGACCGGCCGCTGTCCCCCTCTGCCTTCGGGCGGCAGGCCAGGACCAGGATCTAGGCTCAGCCAGGGATGCAGGGATGATCTGGACCCTGTGGGCTGCGGTGCACCCTGTTTAATGCAGCAAGTGGGTGTCTCGATTCAAACATGGTCGGCCGCAAGCTTCTTTTCTCTCCTGGACCTCGCCAGGGCCTGTCCTGTCCATTTGTCCCTCAGCAAAGCAGCATGCCTACAGAGTACTGTGGTGAGGAGGTGCGCCCAGGATCGTTTTCTTTAAGCTCCGGCCCCCAGTGTGAAGAAGCAAGGGCGACTGGCGAGTGATTTGCTGCTGCGCTCTCTCCGAAATGGACAGATGGGATGGGATAGGTACGCACGGAACGGCAACGGCAGCGGCACACTCAAATGATGACTGACTCTGGAGGCCTGTAACAAGAACGAGGAGAGAGCCTGCCGAGTAGCCGATCTCGAGCGCTGTGTTCTGGCGATCTTCGTTTCTTTGCATAGAGTTGATAGGCCGGCGGGCCTTGCGGCTCTGGTTCTTGTGTGCATTCTTTTCGGTACCCGGTTTGCTCGGCCCCCTCCATCACCCATCATCGGTGAAAAATGAAAAAGTGAGATGCGACATGGAGGGCCACCTCGAAGCACGACTCCATAACCATGAGCAGCTCGGTTTCTAAATCTTTTCTCCTGTATCCCGATTTAGGATCGAACGACGAGGTTGGAAGTTGGAGCCAAGGTGAACGCGGGGGTGAGCTGGATCGCCTGCACTACCACCTCGCCCAAACCCAAAAGGCGCGTTAGTTGGCGGGTTACTGCGTAGCAGGCAGGCAGGTTTGGTGAGGTCCCCTGGATTTTCCCTTCCGTTGCGGATTGCCCATGCATTTCGGGGGTTCTGCAGACCATAGGGCACCCACCCACACGACTGTGGCCAGGGATGGTCAGTGTTTGCACGGGCAGCCCATGGGGCCGCGGGATTCGAGGGACGCGAGAATATGGAGAAGGAGAGACAGACAGACATGAATGCGAGAATGAGAATGCCCAATAACCTAGCAGAATCCCAGAGACTCCAGAGTGCAAGTAACGAGGAAGTCATCCTTGCCAGTAGATCCCATGTGTCACGGCCGAAGGCCGGACGGGGGGGTTCCATGCGTAGATTTGGTTGTCGACCGAGGTTGAGAAGAGACGAAAGATATGAAAGACAAAAAAGGCGCCTCCCTATGGAGTCTGTATGGATTCCAATTGGCATGTCAGGGGAAAGACTCGACGGTTGCCGTCACAGGCTGCGGGAGTGAAGCCAGGTTGTCAAGTCAAGCTTCCACTCCGTTGTCTCGTCTAATTTTGCCAATGATTAAACGAGGGGGGGCAGGCAGGAGAAGTGCAGGAAAGTAACATCGAGAGAGAAAGAACAAAGCAAGCTATTGAAGCTGAGAATGCAAGCCCGCATCTGCTCTGCGCTTGCGTCTGGTCAGCCCAACATCTGTACAGAATACTTGGTGGAAGCGATGCCCCCATCTGGACGACACATTGGCCGATTGCGTGCTGTGATTCGTGGGTGCGCTTTCCCAGCTGTGCTTCCCCCAATGATTCCCACCTTCCCTGCAATAGTTTCTATTGAGGCTGCAGCTTCTCTCGCAAGCACAACACCTTAAGGTACCTTAATTACTCCATGGCAGGACCGACGGGTTACCTTCCGTACTTACCCAGTTTACCTCATGTATTGTGCGAGGTAGGGAGGTACCCGGAAATGCACTTTGTACTTTGTACCTTGGTCTGTCCGAATATTCGTACCGGAGGATGTGACTTCTCTTTCCCACTTCTCACATCTCACGGCGCCACAGGAAGAAAAGGAAGAGAATCAAGCTTTCCTCGAGTGATCCCTCGCAGCTTTGCCAACCCCCAGTGCCCCCGTCTGGATCCTCTGGGCCCCTCAGCCCTCATTTCCCACCTTCTACCCGTCCACAATTGCCAACGGGAGCACGTGGGCAAAGCTGACCCTGTGCGAGTCTTGACTCTGACCTTTCTCAAGAGATGGCAACGATCAAAGCCCACCAGGAGCCTTGCCTTTCTTGGCGATTCCAAGACGTACGAGAGAGCGAATCACATAATACCACCCCCCGTCACAACCGGACTTCTCACAGTGTCCTCTCTCCAGCTCCCTGACTCTTGAGTCTTTGCACCAAAACATCGTCGCCTCCAGCCACAGTCCACCGGCACCCGTCCCCATTGAATCTCGCGGAGAGAAAAGAAACGACCAGGAAAAGCGAAGAGAAATGAAAAAAGACAAGCACACAAACCATCCCCCTTGCTCTGCCGCAGCTGAAGGAGATACCCGTCACCTACCGAGAACACAGAGATGAAGAAGATGGAACCCAGTCGACCATCGTCTTCCAAGCCACAATAATGGACGCTGACTATTCGGCCTATTTTTCCTCCATGGTTCCCAGGTAATAGACTAATAGTCCATGTTCACGGCGCGCTTCCCTACGGAAATGGGTCCATGGAATTGCGCACGGCACGCAGGATCCCGCCTCTCCTCTACGGAAAAAGCTATGGACTATAGCGCACTTTGCACCTGCCTTGTCCGCGGTCGCCGTCCTTGTCGATGGCCTTACCAGCGAATCAGTTATCACCTTGGATCGTATGCCGATGGCCCCTGTCAATTTGGTGTGTCTAGGATGCTTAGTCAAGCCTCCGTCCAGCCCGCCAGTTCTCACGATGCTTGGCGCTTCCGTGGCTGCAGACTCGTACAGACGAAATTGCACCCAGCTGCGCCCTACTCCACGGATATGCACGCAGCATGCCGCACACAATGGCCTTTCAACCAGCGCCAAGACACTGCCTCTTCCAAGAAATGAAGGGAGCATGTCAGCAACACTTTCAACCGTCAGCAATGATCTTCTCACTTCAGGCAATCATCGAGTTGCTCTGGGACGGCAAAAGTTCCAAATCGACTTACACTCTACCGATGCCAGAGACACCACCATGACAACACCAGCCAACGCCTAATGCGACGGTTTCTCTGTCCAATGCCAGGTGGGAATTGGCGCCAAAGGCAAATCGCAGCTGGCGAACCCAAGCAATGGATCTACGCCAAGGATCCACTGATTAGCGCTCTGGTTCCATTGCTTGGACTTCTTTTTTTTTTGGAAATCACCACACCACAGGCGCGGCAGATGCCGACATAGCTTATGCCAGCCGCCATCAAATAGTGTGCACATTCGCCATTTTGGCTGCAATGTAGTGACTGAGGACACCGCGGAGCTGTCTCTCTTGTTTGGGAGCATCGCCGGCTCGTCGCCAGGGTCACATTCACAGGGTGACCGCAACCAAACGGAGCAAGCATTGACGAAGGAGAAACATGAAATCCCCGTCCTGGGAAGTTGGAGCCTGCCTCCTGGGGAGTTTTGCGACAGTTTGGACTGTTTCGTTCCATTGCAACCGAGGCCCACATCGGCAGCAGCTGCGAAACCCGCTTCTTCTTGCCCTCTATGGTGAGGTTGTCTGAACGTCAAAACGGTTTCAACAGATGCTCTCAGACCAGCCCACCGTACATGGGCACGCAAAAGCACGGGATGCCATGGGAATGAGACTTTGATGGACCCCGAACCCGCATACCTCTTGCTTTGCCAAGCCCGTCCGGCAAGACTTGCAACAGGAAAGCAGCGTTTTTAACCAAGGAGGTCGAGCCGAATTGTCGCAGATGGCCCGCTCGTTGATGTCATGTTGCTCTCTCGTGCCTAGGATTGGGGGAAAGGGGAAAATGGATCGTCGATGCCAGCCCCGACTCACTCAGAATCGTCCCATCGAGCTGATGGTGAGGCTATTCGCACTAGTGCCGCCGAAACGTCAGTAACTCGAGCCCCTTAGGCCAGAGTCAGATCTGAGCTGGTCCTACTGCACAAAGACCTTCCCAGCACCACCCACTGTCTAGCCACCCGTGCCACCTAGCATCGCCCAGCGAAAGGCAGCGTGGGAGCTCTTCCGGTCGGCCCGCTAAAGTTCCAAAATAAGTAGTACCTTCCAGGCCAACTTTCAGTCTTCACAGCGCCCACAGGGCATGCCTGCCATCGCTGCAGCCTGGCACATTTCCGGCCTAGTCCTTGTAGGGCGCGCCGAAGAGTCTGGACCACAGGACCTTGACCATGCCAACGCGGAGGGGCGCATGGCACGGGAAGGGGCCCAGAAGATTGGTAACAGCACGAAAGGGGGACGGACGATGGACAGCGTGACAACCTTTCTGTACCCGTATGGATCTAAGAATCGCCAACAAGCACACGACCACTCAACCACGAAAGCGATGCAGGACAATGTCGCCATTGACTGGCTAAGGTGGACGGGAATATCCATTCAGCCCTCAGGAACGCAGCATGAGGGTCGATTCCAGTGGGACAGCCAATCAGCCAGGGGACGAGCAACGAACAAGCTTTGTGCCGATGCGGGCCTCCCTGCAGAGAAATTCGGGGCCATCTAGGCAGACAGAAATGAGACTGCCCGGCTTCAAAATGCTTCTGGAATTGCTCTTCGTATTCCCCCGGGCACAAGGGTTTGGCGGGGAACGGTGTTGCCGGTGGTACTCTTTGAGCAGAGGCAGGCGGTGCAGAACATGGCGAGGTGGAACTCCGTCGTGAGGCCCCGTTTCTCTCGGAAATCGGGCACCTGTCGTGCGGATGCTAGTGCGCCGCTAGCCTCGTGGTCGGGTCACTGCAGTATAGTAGGTGTGGTGTCGTTGGACTGTTGTTGGAACGTGGTGGTGGTGGTGGTGTTGAGAATCCGGGGCTTGGGATGCCGCGGGTCGCGATTCTGGACGTATTCTGATGCATTGTTGACAGTAGTGCTTGGTGTCTTGCATCGCCACGGAAAGTTAGGAACGATAACAGTTCCCTTTTTTGGCGTTCCATGGGTCATGGACGCGCAAGCTACCGTGGTATTTGGATTTCCAGAAGGATGGAAAAGTCTCCGAAAACTGGGTTGTCATGTGTCGAGAAGGGGGCCGCGGATCGTAAGTGGTTCATGACGGGAGCTGCGTGTCCACGACAGCGTCATGAAGAAGACGGTTAACTTGGTTCTAGCTTCTGGGTGAGGCAAACGCGGACGCGGACGCGGATGTAGACGCAATCCGCGGCAGGGTTGTAGAAGGCATGCATCTATTCCTTCCCATGATCCATCTACGATCTGTCTGCGTATCCATGAAGCTTAGACTACTGCAGGCGATACTTTGGACAACAACCTTTACCTTTGCAAGTTCGGTGATGGTTCCGAGACTCTACTAGGTACGTGCGGAGTACGGAACTACGGATAGTTTACTCAGACAAAAGAAGAATTAAGCTTGAGGTAGCAACTGTGGTTGGACGGACGGGATATTTCCCAGATTTACTACCCTCCATTTTGAAATCATCTCGAGGCAATACCGACCTAGCAATGTGCAGCAGATGCAGCATTCTAAGTCCAGCTGCAGCAGTAGACACACCTTTCCCTTGATGGACTGCGGAAGACGCTTCTTTCGGCCACCGATAAGTCTAACTATCCTTCGTATGCTTTTTTTTTTTTAAAAAAAAAAAAAGTTACCGAATCCAGCGACTTGGTCCGGGCGACGCACCCTTGTCGAAATCGACTGACTCGGCATCCCTTCCCCACCAATGTCCTTTCCCCGTCCGTGCACGCACCCTTTTTTTATGTCGTTCTTGACTCCTTCCCAAAGTGCCCCCCTGGTGTGGCCTGGCCCCCCTTGGCACTTTCTTTCACTTCCTCTGCCAGTGCCATTGCCTTTCTGGCGCGCATTCTCCGTAGCTCCAATCACCTTGGTCTCCAGCCTTGCGCCGACTTCAGTCCATTCGCGACCGCGAGGCTGAGAAGGGTCTCGGTCAAACGCCTCAAACCACCATCACCAATACGCCCCATTGAGTATTCGTACTCTTGTCGTTCCTTTACATTGAGGCCCTCAAGGGCAAGCCGCGCCCCATGTCCCCGACAACACCAACGGACTTTGGCTCCTTTCCCCCGCCCCTCACCCGCTCCTCCACCCTCCCGACGGCCCTCAGCACCGGCACCACAAATAGCAGCACCAACAATAGCACCACAAACTTCCACCAGCAGCGCCAGGACCGATCCCGCCTCGCCCCCGAAGATGCCTTCCTAGCAACATCTCCGCCGCGCCGTCCCGTGCCCTCCTTCCCCGATGTCTCCTCCCCCGGCGCAGACCACCGCGCCGCCCGCGCACGCCTCCGTCACAATGCCGCCTCTGCAGTCGCTGGAAGCCACCGCTCCCGCTCTCGCAGAAGTCGCAAGCGGACCTGGAAGAAGCTCATGTGGGTGAAGCAGAGCTACCCGGACAACTACACGGACCAAAACACCTTTCTCGAGAGCCTCCAGCGCAACCCGCGCCTGCAGCCCTACGACTTTTGGCCCCTCGTCGCCGATTCGACAGTGATTGTTCAGCACGTCTGCTCCGTCATCCTCTTCATCGTCTGCTTCGTCCTCATATCCCAGGAGCGCGTGTCGCCCGTGTCCATTGTGTCGTTTAGCAGCATGGCGACGTTTCTGGGCTGGCTGCTATGGGAGCGCTGGGAGGCCGACGAGGAGCGCAAAGAAATGGGTCTGGCGGGCGGCGGCAGCAGCAGCGCGACGGCCGCGGGGCGAAGATTGGAGCCAAGTCGGAGGACGGGGAGTATGAGGCAGCGGAGCCCGCCGCTGCATGACGATGGTGGTGCCGCGGCGGCTTCGTCTACGGCTACGACGGCGACGAGCTCCGCGACGAATTTGTCCAGTACTGCTGGTGCCGAGCGGCCTCGTCTGGCGCGGCATTCGCACTCTGCCTCCGCGAGCTCCCTGATTTCTTCCACGTCGGCGACCTCGCAGTCCGTCTACCGCCGCTACAGCCAAGAAGTCAGCAGCAGCATGCCCCTCCCGCGGCGGTCCTCTTTCCCGCTGCCAGGCGACGACAACAGCCGCCTCAACCAGCGCCTCAGCACTGTCAAGAGCGCAATCCTAATCTACTCGACCCTCCTCGGCCTCTCCCCCATTCTCAAATCCCTGACAAAGTCGACCTCGAGCGACAGTATCTGGGCCATGTCCTTTTGGCTCCTGACCATCAACATCTTCTTCTTCGACTACTCGGGCGGCGTTCGCGTCAACATCCCCGCCTCGCTGTCCACCAACGCCGCACTCATGGCCTCGACGGTGCTCGCTTCGCGGCTGCCGTCCACAGGTCAGGTTTTCAGTCTCACGCTTTTCAGCATCGAGGTCTTTGGGCTCTTCCCCGTGTTTCGGCGGTATGCGAGGCACCGGAGCTGGGGATACCACTATGCCATGACCGTGTTCCTCGTCTTGGGCGCGGGTGCCGGTGTCGGGGTTATCGTGGGTGATAATGGCGGCGTTGCTGCTGGTAGTTGTGCCGGTATGGGGATATCCTGCTGGCCTTGGAAGGGCGCCGTCGCCGGCATGGTTGTCAGCGTGCTCATCTCCGCGATTGCGATGGGCGGGTGTAGTTGGTGGCTGATTGGGTTGCAAAAGTACAAGAATGAGATTTATGGGCCGTGGGATCCGGCGAGGCCTATTATTATGAGTCGACGGCTTTGGGATGATGGGTAAGATCAGGTAGTAGGCACTTATGAGTAGTAAGGTAGCGTAAAGTAATTTGATGAAGAGAGATGTTTTTTTTTAAAAAAGTTGGATCATGATGTTTGCGGAGAAGTGATGTTTCTTTACTATGTTGTACTGGGTAATGTGTGTGGTACTGGGCTCTATGGCTTCACGAGATATTGCAGCTCTGGGAGCTCCTCGTCACCACCCTCTGACTTTACTTCTGCGGCGTTGCGATATGGGCTGGTACCCGACGCCGATTCTTCCTCTCCCACCTCCTCGGTCCTCGGACCTTTACTCGACTTCCTGGGGAACCACATGTCCCATAAACACCGCAAAATGAAACAGGCCACGATCACGCACCAAAATTCGTAGAGAGATTGGGTGACAGAATTGGGGATATCCTCCTTGGTGATGCCCCCGCCGTCGTCGTATTCATCATCGCCGGTGAATATGGTCTCGCCGGCCTCGCACCTTCTACAGAGTTCGATGAGGACGTTGCTCCTGCTTTCCATACGCTTCCCGATGAGCCTCAGGGCCTCGAGGTGAGATAGGTTTCGTTGAAGCTCTCGGTACCGAGAAAGGTTTCCCGTGCGCTTGTTGACATGGTTCAGTCTGTCTGTCAAATCCTCCTGGAGAATAAGAAAGGCACGTTGTTGAGATCCAAACAGTTGCATCTGTCGGTAGAGCTCCTTCTTGTCTTCCTCGTCTTTGAGCCTTTTTGCGTCGAGGGACGACGACGTTATTGATGATGAGGAGGATGCTCTTCGCTGTGACAATGTAGGTTGGAATGCTGATGTGAAGCTCGCGGATGCCGCTGTCATTGGTATGATTTTTGGCCAGGGACATTGGTGCGCGAGCGAGAAGAGTGGTTTCGGTCGCGATGTGCGCGGGGGGCCGTCGCGGAGGCTGTAGCGGATGTATCTGTCGATGTCGGGGTGTACGACTTTGGCGCGGAGGGTAGATGTGTGTGAGAAGAGACGGGTCTGTGGTGGTGCTGGAGTTGTTGTTGGGAAGGGTGATGGTCTTGTGATTATTCCGGGGAGTTGCCTCCGGAGAGTGTGGAGGAGGCTTTGGGAAGCCATTTGTTCTGGTTTGGTATGAGATGGTGATTCTTGTTTTTGTCTTATTCGAGTTGTGGTTGAAGTTGTCGAGGAGGATGTCTGGTATCTCACTTGCGTGGAAAACTTTTGTATTCATGAGGATGTTAAAGTATGTGACGGAGGTGGCACGAGCCTGAGGCTATTGGGATGGTCGTCAAGGGTTTTGGTATACCTTGATATCACGAGAGTCATCCCTTTATTATGACTCAATCTTGCCGCCATTAACATACCTACCGTATCAAGTAGTGAGCCTTTGCGTCACAAACTGTACGGATAAGATCTTGCTTTGTTCCTAATCTGTATAGACGACTGTGGTTTCGTGGCTCCCGTAAAGGTTCGCAATGTTATAAGAGGTTTTGATCCATCTATACATGGAAGGGCGATGAATAGAAGTCCGGAACCTTGTCAACCCTACCAAAGTTACGGATGTTATGGAAACGCGTGGAAAGGAAACGGGAGAGAAAGCTGGACTCGACGACCTATCTCCGAATCATCTTGTCTGGTGGTTTAGAGGGGGTACCTTCCGCCTTGAATTGAATCTGCAGAAGTAATAGTACTGAAGAAATAAAGTCAGGCTACATTGATATCTTTCACAGTCAATACCGTCACCGATCAACACCATGCTCAGCACTATCCTACAAGCAACACCGCGGCTTTACAGGGACTTAGCTACCAGCAGAATGATCTTGCCTGCATCCAAAACCCGGCCGAAAACCGCAAAGACTTTAGAACTACACAACCGCCGCCTCGTTAACGCCACTAAGACACTATCAACCCCTATCTCATTAGCACACGAGATCTTGGAGTCCTCCATAAACTGCAATCAAAGCAGATTCGGCAGCCCCCACCAAGACAACCCATTTCAAGGCTTCATACGGGGTTCGAGAAAGACCAAGATGGCCTACCGGTATGAGGCACCCACGAGGAAAACTGGTCAACAAGCAACATCGTCGGCCACCTCCAGACCATATCTATCATCCTTGGGTAACTTCAGAAGTCTATTCACGCATGTTGTCGAGGTTCTGGACAGCCCGAGAGAATATCAATCAACCGATGGACGGACCTGGAGGAGGAGATTGAGAGGCTACCGGAAGATCGGAGTGAGATTGTAAAACGCCTCCAGGCTGTGGAAAGGCGTCAGGAACTTCATTCATATATGGCATACTGCGTTGTGAGTGGGGTTGTGCTCGCGACTTTTCTTGTGATTCTTGTGGCATTTGCTGTCGGTGAGATTAGAGACAAGTGAAGTAGGATAAATAGTGATGGTGGACCTGGGCAAGAGGCGGAGAAGCTTTCTACCAGGCATTGATATGGTCATATAACAAGATCATGCAAATGCAATTGAGAGATGGCTTAACTCCCGTCGCGCAGACTGATTGTTGAAGGGGTCACGGATTGAACATGAAGCAACACTGGCATGTAGAATAGATACCCTCCAATATCATCAAGGGACGATCAACTGCCGTATCTCTTCGATGGCGAGGCATTGAAGAGATTCTAATAACAAGTAGAAAAACATGTGGCCAGACGTCTAGTGCTTACACCAATGTCACATTGTACGCTGAACCACGCACATGCACCTGCCAACATGCAGGCCATGTGGCTGTTCTACACCCACACCTCCTTGAAGTAGGCATATGCAGCCTGATTCTCTAACTCTCAGTCGTTCCTTCAACTCACTACTTAGCTTGACTGGCTCTTGCACTTCCTCTCCCTAAAGCATACACCAGTTGATCCAATCTCTCCTGCTCTTTGGCATCATCTTGAAACTATGACTACGTCACTGACGGACTACCAATGCCAGGCTCTTTCAGCAACCGACTCCATACGTCTCTTCAGCATCTCGCGAGATGACAGTTATCCCCACGGCCTCTGCCTCTCGCTCAAAGAGGTGAACTTGGATGATGAGCCAGTCTTTGCGGCGCTGTCCTACACCTGGCAGCTACCCAAGTACAGTAACATTCAGGATGCCCAAGAGCCTGGGCCGGGAAGGACATTTGAAGTGATCTGCGACGGCAAAGTGATGCAGATATCTGAGAATGTGTTCGACTTCCTCCGCACTATCCTTGATTTTCGTTGTCGATCAACAGATCAATCATCTTCAGCGACTCGCAAATGTCCGCCCAAAGTTAGGTCCGCACTGGACACGATGCCACTCTGAATAGACGCATTCTGCATCGATCAGGCCAACACATGTTCCCGTTGGGCCACGTCATGGTTCCCATTTGCAAAGTTTCTGCGGAAGAATCGCTGGTTCGATCGGGGTTGGGTTGTTCAGGAAGTTGCTTTGACAGGCCCAGCCCAGATCCACATCATGTGCGGAAAAGTTGTCTGGAATTGGAAGCGTCTCGGAGCATTCGTACAGTTTCTCCATGATGCTCGATGGAGCCACGCCCTGGAGGCACATGTCGAACGATCGTTCGAATTCGCCAAGTTGATTTCTGAGGTTCGGCTTAGTCCCAAGACAGTGAGATACATATATGATACAGGACCACTAAATCTCTGTTATTAGGGGGGGCACGATGGAGCAAAAGCAAAAATGAATGCGTCGAGGGGGAATCGAACCCCCGGCTCCCCGACGCTGCTGGATGGCAACGGAGAATTTTACCACTAAACCATCGACGCGGCTTGAGGATTTTGAATAGTAGGCCATACTTGAACTATTACTTGGTCATTGTGTCTCTCAATCCGGAGAAGGGAAGTGCTTCGTCAACCGATTTTGTCGACATGCGGCTAAGGGGACATATTTTCTTCGTCAAGACTTGTAGCCAAACAGGTTGTTTCGGCCTGAAGTCAGGTCACGCGCACTAATCTCACAACTGCATCCTGCGATGAAAGAAATCCTTCTCATTGTTGAAAGTCGTAAAGGCATAATGCATGGGTCCTCCCGTGAAACCAGAAAAGCTGACCGCAATGCCATATCTCAAGATTGCAACTCCAGGTCCTGAAACGTCCAAATCAGCCCCCATTCTACAAAGTCAAAGACAGCAGGAGGGCTGTATCGTCTCTGCAGCATCCGCCTAAAACTCGGTCTAGGGAAAGTGTGTTTGCATTGGCGCCTGCTGTAGCTGTTCCTCCACGCGCCGTCGTCTGCCTTTTCTTTCAAAGCGCAGCAAAGCCTCCCTCTTCGTCCAGTGTTTCCTCCTCTATTTGGGCACAGCGAATTTCGTGGTCCATTCTTTGGCCGTCGCGATGGCGGCCTGCTCGTCCTCCTTCCAGCTCTTCGCGACGTCGGCGGCGAGGGGGTCATCGGGGTTGGGAGCACCGAGGAGGGCCTGGATTGAGAGTAGAATAGTGCGGATCTGGAGGGCAGGGGACCAGTTGTCTAAATGAAGGTTTCTTTGTCAGCCATCCTGCGCCAAAACTTCATTGTTCATATACCGCTACTCACTCTTCAGAACATCGAGGCAGATACGGCCCAGCTTGTCGACATTGGGGTGGAAGATCTTGGTAAGGAAGCGAATCTTAGGGGGAGTCATGGGGTAGTCGTCGGGAAGGAAGAGCTCGAGCTTGAAGACGCCGCCTGTGACACCTATTAGTTCTTTGCAGTCAAGTTGCTGTGGATGTATTGCGCACCTTCGTACGGAGATTGTGTAGGTCCGTGAATCTCGACATCAAAGTAGCGGAGGTTGTCCTCGTGAGGGACGGCACTGATTCCGGGTACCCTTTGAAACGGTCTTTGTTAGCAGAATATCGAGATGTCGCTAGTTGGACAGGAGACCTACGGCTCAGCCATGAGACGCTCCGTCTCCTTGACAATACGCTTAGGCAAAGCCATGCTGGGCGACAAACGCTCTGGAGATTGTTCGAGGGTGAGGCAGAAAAGGAATGGTGTCTGAGCTTCCTCTGGAAACCGAAGTTCAGGGCCAAGAGCTGATGGATCGATGGCGGGGTTAAGCGAGTGGTGAACCAGATGGAGCTTCCTTGATTTCGACTCGCCGAGTTAGGAAGAAAGGCCGCAAACGAAATCGCTATCGGATGCTCGGGATATCGGTTTGGAGCGGCGGCGACGAAGGTGACGAGTAGCCGGAATTGGTGGAGTGTTTCGAAAGGCAACCTTTGGGTATGGTGGGCATGTGCTTGGGAAAGCCTTGCTTGGAATTGCCCCGCGGGAGGGACCAGAAGCATGACACACTCCAGGCCTGGCTGGACGCTGTCCCGATAACAGTGAAAGAGTGGAGACTGGTGGTGGTATTCAAGAGCTATCATTGGCCTTAATGTCCTGGCGGGGAGTAAGTACACAGCTGCAGACTTGCTGCTCGAAGGTACATCATCGCCATTGTGGGTCCCGTCCATCCACAAGCGTCCGCCCAGGATGCTTAGCGATGGATGCACCTGATCCCGTCGCGTGCATCGGCCTCTGAGCCTCAACTAAAGACCCTCAATATCAAGTTGCGATACTTCATCCAATCAGGACATCTTATCAGTCAAAGAGCAACTGTCAGAGCAGTCTAGACTGTGGAAGGACTCTCCCATTGTCGCGTGCCATCGGATCATGGCAAAGACATAGCGCCTACAGATGCCTTTCTGAGGCATCTCTCTCATCTGAGCCAAAACCGCCATCATGCCGCACTTTGACCAGCTTGATGCGCCGAAGAAGGGCAAGCCGATCAAGTCAGCCTTCGACAGTGAGAGCTTTGATGCGGACGGAACGATTCACGTCGCTGGTCTAGTAGGATCGGCGACGATAGCTCCTTCTCAGAGGGATGTTGCCTTAGCATCGTGAGTCAACTTATCGTGAGGCTTCCGAGCCACTGGGCCCCAGCTGACACGTCCATCAGACCCGAAGGTTTATCCATCATTGATTTGGACTCACCTTACAATCCTCCTCGCCGACTTAGCAGTCATGGCTCCCCTTGGCTTGTCACCGATGTCCAATGGTCGCCCTTTGCAGTTCGTGACTACTGGGTCGTGTCCACTGCCAACCATCGCGCGCTTGTCTGGAACCTAAACTTGAGAGATGACTCGACATCGGGGGCCATTGAGCATTCACTCCAAGGCCACAGCAGAGCCATCACCGACATCAACTGGTCCGCCCACCACCCCGACCAGCTCGCTTCGTGTGCTGTCGATGGTTACGTCCACTGCTGGGATCTCAGACGCCCGAGACAGCCTGTCCTTACTTTTTGCGATTGGTTTGCCGGCGCCACGCAAGTCAAGTACAACCGTCAAGACCCGCACATTCTAGCTTCATCTCACGACAGGTGGTTGCACATTTGGGACGAGAGACGACCAAGTGAGCCCCTGAAATCAATCGGCGCACACACCTCAAAGATCTACGGGATCGATTGGAACCGGACCACGTCTACCAAGATTGTCACTTGCTCTTTGGATAAGCACATTAAGTTTTGGGACTATGCGAGCGACCAAGATGTCCCGGATCGCGTTATACGTACCGAGTTCCCGGTGTGGCGCGCTCGTCATACCCCCTTTGGCCAGGGGCTCCTTGCGATGCCTCAGAACGAACCAGGCGACCTGTACCTGTACGACTGGCGAACACCTCCCAAGGATCCTGAGGAAGGGCCGACTGAGCCAGTAGCGGTTTTCCCTGGCCACGGCAACCACAAGGCCAAGGAGTTCTTGTGGAGAAGTAGAGGGAGCATCACCGAAGATGCGCTAGATAACAGAGACTTCCAGCTTGTGTCTTGGGGAGAGGACAATGAGCTGCGCCTGCAGCAAGTCGACCCATCTATTCTCGAGTCTGTGGGATATGTCAAGGGGATGGCGGCCAACAAGAATGTCGTCCTCACACGCAAAGGCGCTGCCTACAAAACTTTCCGAACGGTTGAGGACACAGTCAGCCGAGACAGGAGGAGTGCCACAATGAGCGATCCCCGCAACAGCGCGCAATACCGTCAGAGTGCTCTGACTATGGGTATGCGGTCTGGGCCGACAACCTACTCCAAACTTGGTGCGGCTTGGAAGGGCTCATCAATGAAAGCCAAAAGCACCTCCAGAGAGATGGATCGTAGCCAGGCACATATCGGCTGGATGAAGGGAATCATGATGAACAAGCGCAAGACATCTACAGACAGCCCTAGAAGGGCAGATTCAAAGGACTCCAGCATGTTTAGCCCAGGTTACATGGACGATGACAAGTGGGGAGAACCAGAGACTATCCAAGAGGAGTTCCTCCGCATCAGCATGCAGCTGCCGAAGGTCAAGTGGGAGCACATCGACATGGATAACTTAACGCTCAATGCATCTCTCAACGGCCCATGGGGCGCCAACGGCGACCCAATCTTCATCAAAGTTACAGTCGACATACCATCTAATTATCCTAAGGCCAAAGCACCAAGATTTTACATTGAGAAGACTGGCTTCATGTCGGACAAGACGCATAAAAAGATCGAGCACGAAATTCATGAGCTCTGCCAACAATTTCTGGAGCGAAAGCAGAATTGCCTGGATGTTGCTTTTTCTTATCTGTTGGGCGAGATCGACCTGGCGGCGAGCACGAATTTCTTCAAAAATGTGAAGGATCTTGACGATCCTTTAGACGGACTTGGCTCCGAGAGCTCTAGCGAAGACGAGAACGATATTCCGGCCGGCGGTTCGGCATCTATGTCGCAAGAATTGCCTCCGAACGCAGAGGCTGACAGCACTTTGGCACCAAACAATAGACCTACAATTCCGCCCTTGCCACGGTTCTGCGGCGCCCGGTTTTCCAATGACGGGAGGCTGGTGTGCTTCTTCCCAACCAAGGAAGAAAAGGCAAGGGCACTGTTATTTACGCCGGCAGAACCCATGCGGGAGAGGTCAAAAGGGGAGCCTGTATTCGCCGGCTTTGGACGTCTTGCACATGATTCGCCGCCCGGAAAGCGATATGGCAACGACGAGATGTCCGCTACAGACGAGCAGTCCGATTCTGACGTCTCCACTGGTTCATCCTCTTCGAGTGACTCGGAATCAACATCTATCAATAAGATGAGCCTATGGTATCAGCCCCGACATCGTTTCAAGCGAACTTGGAGTGACAATCGCTCTGTTCGATCAAGCGGTGGCGGCACGGGAGTTGGAACCGGAACCGGCACAGGATCGCTTAGAAGGCGACCAGGCGCAAAGTCAAAGAACGTCGTCTCCCTCCACGACTTATCGGATATTCTCCCTGCGAAGAAGGAATTCGCCGAAGACTATGCTATATTTGGGGATGGTGCTGAGGTCTGCGAGCATAATGCCCAGGTCGCAGAGAAGCATGGCTGCCAAGATTTGGTGGAT